ATGCAGAATAGCGTAGATGTTTTGTGTTCCAAGCACTCATAACTTATGCAATCAGAATGGTTTCCCTGTATTCAAATTAGAGCAGAAAGAAAGGGTTTGGCTTGCAGTAAAATACTACTGCCACCATAAAATCATAGTCTACTGGTAGCTGCCAGATCTAAATAATAGTTGTTCAAATGCTGGATTATAGCAGTATCAAGCTGTCAGTTTACTCTCTTGTCAAGAGCAGTTATTGCAAGGCTCCCTGAATTGATGCCTAAATAATATTAATTTATATTCTAAAATATTTATCTAACTTCAAGTCCCTCACAGAAAGACTACTGTGTTATCTTCACCCGTATTCCTTTTTAAACATTCACAGCACAAAGTATCCTGAAGCCTCCAGGCTGTCTCAGGAAATACATGTCCTGCAGTATCCTGATCAATTTTCTCCCAGTTATGACTTCCCCTCTGCACTGTATTTTTTCATTTACCCTGGTGTGTATGTAGCCTTCCTTGCAGAACTGCAAGGGGAGCTGGCAGGGATCCAGGACAACCTGTCAGCACAAGCAGCAGTGAGGTGATGAGTCAGCAGAGGCACTGTGTGTCTTTGTGCTCTGCTGCAGCCCTGCTCACTCCCAACCCTCCCGGAGACAAGTCTTGGCTTTGACCTTGAAAAGTGTCCACAGCTCCTGCTCATCCTTATTTTGATGAGAGGGAGGATGTGTCCTTCAGTGAACCTGAAAATGTGGAGCTGCCCTACAGAAGCTAATAACCCAAGGAACAAGAGGCTCTGTGTGATCTGAGGATTATGTGAGGCTTAACCTGAGAACAAGGCTGGCAGTTTTGTAAAGCAATTCAGTAAGAACCATCACATAAACTGCAGTGGTAAAACAATTTTAAAATAGAATAATTTCACTGCTTTTGTGCCACACTGCATTCAGTACATCCCCAACATGATAGCTGTACACAGAAAAATCCAGCAGCTGCTACATACACTGTGATTACATAGAATAAGACAAAATTATCTAGGATTGAGAAATAAGATGTCCACAATGAAAGGACATCAATGTGGCCACACGTGTATTCAGGTATTTTTGTCTTCATTTTTTATACTGCTTTTTTAAAAAAAGAATTAAAATGGCTCCCTCTTGTGTCAAGAGAAAGGCAGTATCATTTTGGCCAAAATCTAGTCCTTGAGCAGGAATGAGATTTTATCTATATTTATACTGCAGAGGCTAGTTATCAGTACATTGTGGTGACTGAGGAGACTGAACACATGTATCCCTTGCTGCTTAGGTACCCTTTGAAGCTACCTAAAATAAGTCACATAAACAGTTACCTTTCAGCTGCACGTGATGGAGGGCAGGGAAAAATAGCTTGTGAACCATATGTATTGCATCCCATCTAATTTGCTAATGCAGTCTAGACTAGATAGATATCTTGTCTTGGAGATCCCTTTTCTTAGAGATCTTTAACATCTCAGCACAGAATATCTGGATCAGTGTAGCTTAGTTTACTTGTGGTGTTTTTCACAGGTGAGCAAATCTTCACCTTGCAAGGGGTGGGAGGAAAGCAATGAACTCTGACAGAAAGCTCTGAGCATGAAAGAGTCAGCAAATGGCAGTGAGGAAGGAAAAACCTGATTTCAACAACCTGCAAGTCTTCTTTCCTTCTTTCTAGTACCTGCTAGCTGATAAAGTTTATTGTTCTGGCTTTTGAATCATGAAAGCTTTTTCCACAATAATTCATATCCATAAAACTCTGAAACTGAAAACTGAGAGGGTTGATTTTTGGGGTTTTTTTTGTTTTTTTGGTTTTTTTTGCATAGCATGGAGCATACTTTGGTAACTTTGGATATTAAGCACTAATCTTGGAAATGAACATAGAAGAGGAAAAAGTCTTGCTAACCTCAAGAGGCAAATAAAATGTATCAGGAAATATGTGTGTGTATACACAGGAAGTATCTACAATAGTTTTAGAGAATGCAGGTCTGAAAAGCTTTGTTTCAAGGAAGCATGCTTCAGTTCTGTAGTTTCTCACAAAATCTCTTCCTGTAGTTATAAATTAACAAAACAAAACCAATCTAAATAAAAAGAAATTAGGCCCACTTCAGAGTGGGATTAATCATACTGATGACTGGAGAGCTTGATGAAGCTACTTTGCAGATAATTATCTTGAGATAATCTCAGTTTATCCTGATTCAGAAGTCTGGTTGCACATGCACAGGAGGCTATGTTTTCTAGCTTGAAGGGGAGGCTTTAAAATACTATCTTATGAATTCTGCTGTAGCTATTTATCCTTTGTAAAAAGTCTTCCTTGTTACAGCCTTACAGGTTGTTACCAGAATGAATGAAAATATGACTACCAATATCAAATTATATATTTTCAAATCGAGGATTTGTATCCTCCTATAAGAGGAGTAAGATAATTTATTCTTGCTTCTCATACAGAAGGAGTTACGACTTGTTCACAGAGAGGAAAAAGTTACTATGGTGGACAGAATAATCATTCGGTATCTTAGCATTTCTTGTTGAAGGGCCTCTACAGTGGCACCCCACAATCCATTTCCACGTTTCAGAGAAGAACTGCTGAGGGTAGACTCAGGGTAGACTCAACTTCAGAGAAACTGAAAGGGTTTATTGACCCTAAAGCACATACTTAGGCTCCAAACTGCTGTTTGGAAAAGATCTCATCAGCTGCCACCTGGGACTAGGTACATCTAAACTAAAAAATACTTTTTATCTATCCAGCCATGCAAAGTTACTTTTCCAAACACAACCACTGTGACAATCTTAATGGAACTGAGCTACCTGCCTTATATTCCAAGCCTGAAAAGACAGGATGAGGTGACTGGGCATTTCATTACCTATTTCTTTTGAGGTACTCATTGCAAAATTGTTTGGAAGGTACTTAAAAAAGATTGAGTTGCACTATATACATACACACATAAGAGTATTTTAAAATCACATTTTATCTTAAGTATGGCTAAACACTGGTACTCTTAATTAATAATCTAGTGGCTGGGGTACCTGCCTGGGAAGTGTAAGAGACCAGGATTCTCAGATGGAGAGCATTTTGTATCCTTCTCCCTGGATTATGCACTTTTTTCTTTCCTGGGTTATTTCCAAACTGTGGGTTGTTCTAGAAGAGAGGTGCTCTTGGAGTCTTTAATAGCTTGTGTGGACAAAAGAATAAACAAAAAAAATTGATTGATCAATAAAGCTCATGAGCTGTATGTTCAGTGGTAAAATCACTCCATGTCAGGCTTTAGACACCTAGCACTGGCAGTAAATCAGCATAGGGGTATTTTTCTAGTCAGTTTGCATTCTTCCCAGTAAGTAAGATATGCCTTGTGAGGTATTGGCATATCTAAAATGGGGGCCACTACAAATTTATTTGATGCTTACTTCCGTTTCAATGCTGTAATGCAAAATATTGTGAGAGGCAGAAGTCAATCTCTTTAAAGGTAGAAAACTTTGAAAAGCTGCTGTTTTCTTCTTGACTCAAAGTAAAGGTAAATGCTTTCATGCTGACCTTATTTACTTGTTTTTCCTTTGGGTGACATTTCCCCTAGCCTCCACTATTGCTAAGGTTTTGTAGAGTAGAAATTATGAGCGAGACTCATAATTTAATTCTATGAAGCATTTCCCAAAGAAACCTCAGGCTAGTACTCTTGACACTTTTCAGAAAAAAAATTAGGTTTGTGGTTTCTTAGTAAGCTTTTGTGCCTCGTTTCTACTTAACCTCAGGCAACGAAATGTAAATCGTTAAACAAGGTTTGGATGTGAAATTTAATATTCCTTCCTTGTGTATGCAGGATTTTGCTAAGCAAACAACAGGTATGCTGTTTTAAACAATAATTTTTCCAACTGAGAGAGGAGACTTTGATGCAGTCTTTGTTCTGCATCTACATCATAGCAAACCTCACTGTTATATGTACAGGCAGTGCTATCCATCAGTCAGGATCAAGTTTCCTGTGACTTGTGTGTAACTCTTAAAAAATGAGTGCTGTAGCCTGAGTTAACATCATCGAGCTTTTGTGTGAGTCATACAGCTGTCAGGTGGCTGAAACGCACTGCAGCTTATTCCTGGACCTAAGCTAACAACCTTTACCACAGCAAATATTTACAGCCTTAACAGACTGCAGGATAAAAAGATCTAATGGTATTTATTTATGCCATACACGCATCTTTCTCTCTGGTAGGCACAGTGAGTTCACCAATTCCTGTAGCATAACTACATAATGTTTCTTTAAATAAACTCACTGCGATCTCGCTTACTGAAACAAAAAAAGTGAAGGTTTATATATAACCAGCTTCCCACTGCCGCCTCCTGTGCCGCTGGTTTTCCAGGCCCTCTCCTATGCAGAGCACTTAAGCGGCGTAAGCGGATGTTGCATAATGTGATTATGGGCTGCTCTAAAGTGAGGAACGTGTCCCACTTGTGGCATCTTACACACGGCTGCCTCCGCTCTTTCACTGAACACAAGCTGTGATGCTGTTTTCATATATATTCCTGGCAGCTGTCAATTGCCAAAGCAGAAGATTAGGGGATTGGGGCTTTTTTTTTTTTTTTTTAATTTGTACTGAAAACCTGTAATGCTTCCTCTCTCATGCCTTTAGCTCTGAAGGAGATGATTACATTTCAGGTCATCTCTTCCTCTGTGTGATCCCAATACACCACCCTAACTCATATTACAGGAATTTGAACGTATATGTAAGCAAGATTTTTAAAGATCAGCCTCGAAAGCGTATCTATGCGATATATCTACCGCTGAGGGAACATGGCGGTGAGTTCCCGACGTGTCTCCAGCACTAGCCGCATTCGCCACCCGGGGTGAACTGCGGCCCTTGTGGTGCCCAGTCCCTGCCCCCGGGGTCGCCGCTGTGGCGGCGGTGCCAGAGCCGGGGCTGCCGGCGGCCCCCGCCCCTCAGAGCCCCTCACGCTCCCGGCCCCTCGCGGCCCCTGGCGGCCGCCGCGCGGGGCCGGGGCTGCGCAGGCGCGGGGGCGCGCGGGATGCGGGCGGCGGGAGCGCATGGCAGGTGGCGGGAAGCGGAGGCCGCGCGGCGCGGCGGGACCGGCCGGAGAGCAGGTGGGGCGGCGGGCGGCGGGCCTGCACCGCGCGGCTGCCTTGTGCTGTCTGTCGGCCCTCTGTCTCCTTGCCCCTTGTTCTGTTTGGCTTGGTGGCTTTGGGGACAGACTCAGGGCCCCGCGGTCTCCTGCGCGGCAGCCCCTCCTCGGCGCGGGGACCGCCGCGCTCGGGGTGCGCCGGGCCCGCCGGCCGCCGCATCATCCCGGCGGGACCGCGCTGCGAACGGCGACACACGCCGCGACCCGGCTTAGCTGGCAGCGGCCCTGCTTCAGAGATGCTCTCTCTAGCAACAGGCTTTCTTTCTTGTTCTTATGTATTTATTTTATTTTTTTATGTTCTTTCAAATGGGGGGTAGCGATTCCTACCAATTCATGGAGACATGTGGGAATGCGGTGGTTGAGGCTACTGCCCCAGTGGAGTGTGCCCGTGGATCGTTTCCTAGCCTGCTTCAGCTCACGTTACATAATTTTAAAAAGCAACTTCACCCCTAAGCCGCTTCTGAAATGCTGCACTGAAAACTGCAGTAGTCGTGACGTTGCATAGCACAGTAGTTAAAATAGTAGAGACCAGAGGAGTTTAGCTGTATTATTTAGTTTGACAAAATAGTATTCCTACTTTGAACTGTCTTTAAAACACACAAACATATTGTATGCTGCCCACACTGTGATTGGAAATGGTTATTTTAGAGCAATGTAGAATTAGATTAAACTTTAGGATTGCCTGCTCCTTTGCTTAATTAACTAACAGAAGTGCTTCTGTTGATTAATTGACCCGTTAATATCAAAGTAGCAGTTTGCTGCTGCAGACATGTTTAGTACATTTGTCAGACTGCACTTTTAATGGGTTCTGTCCAAAACAGATGTTCTAGGCTGTATATATACTGCTTTAACTAACGAACACGTCCTAATGAATCTAATCCTTCTTCTTCCATTAGTATAAAAGCTTTGTAGACTCCTTTGGTAGAGAGAAAGCAACTAAATTAACTTTTGGGTCGTTTTTTTGTTGGTTTTTTTCCCAATCTACAGAGTGAAAAAAATGGAGCTGTCAAGAAGAGAAGATCAAACCAGGCAGATATTTCTGATAGTCTTTGCCAAGAAGCAGAAACATGCTATCAGCTTAGACTGCCTGAGGACTTCTACCAGTTTTGGAAGTTTTGTGAGGAGCTAGATCCTGAGAAACCAAGTGGTGAGGTTTTAAATTTTTTCTCTTCTAACTTTCACTGCTGAAAGCAGGCAAACTGGAGTTGGTCAGATGCATTTTAGTGATGCTGCAGTTTCTCACTTGAGATGGAGGGTATTTATGTGAGTGTGAACTAAAGGCTGGCTATAATCACCAAAATGTACACTTCAAGCTTTCTAAAATGTAATTACTGAAGTTGTGCAATGCAAAGGGACTAAATGTGGTCTCAATCTGCCTTTCTTGCAAGTGCATTTAAAATGTTTAGTATGGAACTCAAGTTTCCTCATGTATCATGGTTTAATCCCAGTCACCAGCTAAGCACCACACAGGCACTTGCTCACTCCCCCTTGGTGAGAGAGAATTGAAAGGGTGAAGGTGAGAAAACACGTGGGTTGAGCTGAAGACAGTGTAATAGGGAAAGCAAAAGCCACAAGCAAAGCAAAACAAGGAATTAATTCACCACCTCCCATGTGCAGGCAGGTGCTCAGCCATCTCCAAGAAAGCAGGTCTTTGTCATGCTGAGCATGATGCCATATGCTGTGGAATATCCCTTTGGTCACTTGGAATCAGCTGCCTCCTCTCTCAGCTTCTTGTGCACCCACAGCCTCCTCGCTGGTGGGATGAGAGGTTGAAAAGACTTTATCTTGGTGTAAGCACTACTAAATCTGGATTTCAACCTCTTCAAGTTTATTACATAACAGAATGTGGCATCCCTGTGTGCTCTAGAAATGACAGTGTCTTTCAGAGTCATAGAATGGTTTGGGTTGGAAGGGACCTTTAAAGGTGATCTAGTTGAACCCCCTGCACTGAGCAGTAACATCTTCAACAGAGCCAGGTTGCTCAGAGCTGGGTCCAGCCCAGCCTTAAATGTTTTTAGGTCATCCAGTGTGTCTCTGGGCACACTGTTCCAGTGTTTCACCACCTGCATCATAACACTTGTTTTTTTTTCCTTGTGTTTAGTCTGAATCTACCCTGTTTTAGTTAAGAACCATTACCCCTTGTCCTCTTGCTACAGGCCCTGCTAAAATGTTTGTCCTCACCTTCAATACCTAAAGTACTGAAAGGCTGCAGTAAAGTCCCTGGAGCCTTTTGGTCTCCAAACTGAACAACCAAAGCCCTCTCAGCTCATCTTTATAGGAGAGGTGCTCTAGGCCTCTGATCATCTTCATGACCCTGTTCTGGACCCACTCCAACTGGTCCATGACCTTGCTGTGCTGACAGCCCTGGAGCTGGATGCAGCCCTGCAGCTGGGGTCTGAGCAGAGGGGCAGAATCCCCTCCCTGGCCCTGCTGCCCACCCTGCTTTGGATGCAGCCCAGGACATGTTTGGCTCTCTGGGCTGGGGGTGCCTGTGGCTGGGTCATGTCCAGCCTTTCACCCACCAGCACCCCCACGTCCTTCTGGGCAGGGCTGCTCTCCATCTGTTCATCCCCAGCCTGTGTTGATACCAGGGGTTGCCCCAACCCAGGTGCAGAACTTTCCAAGACCACTTGGTCTTGTTAAATATGAAGAGATTCCCGTGGGCCCAGTTCTTGAGGTCGTCCAGGTCCCTTGGGATGGCATCCCATCCTTCAGGAGTGTCATCTGCACCCCTCAGCTTGGTCATCTGCAAAGTTGCTGAAGTTTGCTGATCCAGTCTTGTGTAATTGATAAAGATGAATATTAAACAATACTGGTTCCAGTTCAGAGCCCTGAGGGAGACCACTCATCACCAGTCTCCATCCTGACATTGGACTGTGGCTGGATGGCTACTTTTTATTAGAATTGTAATAACTCTTGAATGAAAACTATCTGGACAAAAAAAAATCTTAGCTTTCCTTGTCTAGTGAATAGTGTTTGACTGAATTTATGGGAACTTTCGATACCTGAGCAACACCAGAACTTCCCAGTCTAGATGTGCACCTGATTCATGGTTTGCTTTTCAGATGCACTTGTGTCAAGTGTTGGACTTAAGCTGGTTGGACCATATGATGTTCTTGCTGGAAAACACAAAAAAGCAAAATCAACAGATGTGAACTTCAATCTTCATTGGAGATTCTTCTATGATCCCCCAGAATTTCAGACTATACTTGTTGGGGATAGCAGAACACAGTATCACATGGGATATTTCAGGTATTTTATTTCCTGTGTGCCCTTGTCTCACTACAACTATGCATAGCTTTTGTTCTCTTTTTCCATGAAACATAACTTGTGTGCTATCACCAAGCAAGAATCTTCCTTTTTTTGTAATAAGACATTAACACGTGGCTTTATCTTTTTAATAAAAAAGTTTGCAGTAACAGGAGTTGAAGACTAGATTTAAATATTTATTAATCTACCTCCTCCAGCCATCCAAAGCACCTTCACTCACTAATCTTTAACTTTTGCCATGATGCTGAGAAGAAAATCAAGTTACCAAAAGGAAATGTGTGGCTGCAAGCTCTTTTCAAGGCTTGCTGTAAGATTTTAGAGCTTTGGATCTAAGGGCATTTCTTGGTGGGGTTCTGAAGGAGATGGCAGCATAGTGGGGAGGCAAATTTAGTTTTACCTTGAAATAGGAGAAATGGACACAGCTTGACTATTTTGTGTGTGCTTTTTCATCAATAGGGATGTGCCAGATGAGCTGCCAGTGTGGGTTGGTGCAAATGAAGCAAAGAAGGGTTGTGTGATTTCACAAGTTGGTGATAATGTCTTTGCTGCAGTCAAGTAAGGTTCATATTTACTTTTATTTGCAAAGAACAGAATAGAGAGAAGTTGTTAATTTCGGAGGTGGGATGTAGAATAATGAAGCTAACTTATTATATGGCTGTCTTAAGAAACCCTCACTTATTTTCTGCCTCTGTTGGCAAGTTTTAAGATTCTCTTTAAAACCTTTGTAGGCTTTTTAACAATATTTTCCTTTCAAAACTAAAATAAATAAGTGTTAATTACGTCATTCCTTAAATATATTGGCTGAGACATCCAGTGGATATTTTATCCAATTTAGAGGCTGTGTTAAAATTATGTTGTAAGTAGAGAAAGGGCATCTCAAACAGTGGTGAAGGAAATCTGAGTCTGATAGTAGATAATAGCATCTGTCTCTTGTTCTTGTCTACATAAAAATACATTATTTTTGTATATAATCAATATCTACAAGAAATACCATTTCTGCCCTGTGGCAGGATAACACTGATGTGGATATGTAGTTCAGTCTGATTCATGGAACTTTACATGTTCCTGTGTCAGGAAGGTAAATAACTGACATCATCCCTGCTGGTTAAAAATGGAAAGCTCTCTAAGAACAGGCACGTGTCAGTCAGTGAAAGCAGACTGAAGAATGGCTTCTGCAAAAGAACCCTTGTGCACTGCAGAGTTAAATGAGGACATATGTTTTGAAAGTAGCATGGGGAAGCTCATAAATATGTATTTATGTGCATGACTTGGATGACAAATGGTGTATATGGCACAGAAACAGCAAACTGAATTCTTAAGATAGAAAGATGAACAGTTACTGAGGCTGGGAGAACCTTGAGCACCTGCAGATTGCATAATTGTAATGCAGGTACAGATAAGAAAAGCCCAAGTACTGGATATGCCAAACTATTTTCTTGCCTCTTCTTAAGAGGGTGGCATTTTCAAGTCTGTGTGTGATTAAACACAGGACTGCTAATCTTTGTTGTTAAGATCTAGAGGCTTAACATTTAAAAGGCTATTAATTTTTTTTTTTTGTTTTCTTGACATGTTTAATCTATTTGCAGATTATTTTTGTCAAAGAAACTTAAGGAAGTGGCTGATAAAAAGAAAAATGCTGTTTTGAGAGACATAGATGAAAAGCTAACAAGAACAGCAAAAGAACTGGGTTATTCTCTGGAACAAAAAACCCTGAAGATGAAACAGAGAGATAAGAAAGTATGACTTTCCTCATCTACTGGAGAGAACTAAGTTCTGTTAAATTTTTTTTCATTTACTTCCTGTTTGTGTTTTTCCATCCTTCTAGTCAGTAAGGATGCTACGTTAGGAATTTCCCAAGGTAATCAGCTCTCTATAAAGCTTCAAAAGAGGGAAGATTACTACAAGTGTGTTCCAAATAATAGGATATAATAAAAAACACTTTACTCTTGTAAATCATAGCTTGGCATTCAATTAAAAATGAAACAAGAACAAACCACCACCAAAAACAACTCAGTAAGCACAGTAGTCTAGAAACTGGAACAAATAGAGGCCATGGAGAAAACTGCTTTAAATGGAAGATTGTTCTAAATAGTTGGGTTGGATCTGTTAAAAACAGGACCATTAAGGATGATATAGATGATAATAACAGAGATTGTTTGCATACCTGTTAAAAATAGTTATGGTAGGGGACTAAGTAAATGCAGTATAGTGCAACACAAGTGACTACAAGGGTTCCTAGAATTCAGAATTTCACTGAAATGGCATTTCCAGTTATTTCAAACTTCAGTACTTGAAATTAACTGCAATATAATTTGAAACTAAGTTGTTGTCCTGGAGCCAGGACACCATGTTAGGTTTGACCACCAGCAGTCAGATGTTAGTGTTTAATGAGGTGAGTTATTTTTAGGTCACAGTACTGTCTCATGGTGTTATGTTCCATTTTCTGTCTCTCTATTCAGGTGGTGACCAAAGCATTTCATGGAGCAGGCCTAGTCGTTCCTGTAGACAAAAATGATGTTGGATACAGAGAACTTCCTGAAACAAGTGGTAAACATGTTGTTTACTGTATCCCTCTGCTTTTTTTAAGTAAACAACCCTCAGTAAAAAACAAACTGCATTCATGTTTTCTACTTAAAAAATTTGGCTGATAGGAGTAAAACATAGAAGTCCTAACCATCACACTTGACCTCAAAGTATTGTCATTAAAGGAACCAGATGAAACTCAATGAAAAGTGCTATATCTGTGAAAATACCTCAAGTAGTAGTTTAGATGATCTTTTCTTTTGTGTTATCAAAGCCATGCAGGAAGTAGAGCAAAAAGCTGATCTGCATTCAGGGATATGTGGGCTTATCTTTTATCCACCACCTTCTTCCAGTGTCATTTGAAGCAAAATCAGTTCCTTGATGAAATTTCATCACACAAGTGCTTGTCTCCCTTTGTGAGGAACTGAGAGAGATGGGCATGGGTTAAGAATGAGCTTCCAAGGAAAGGGTGGGAAGCTTCACCAGCAGGTCAGGGTATGCCCACTTACCTTACGTGTAAGCATGGCACATGGGTATAGTTTTGCCACAGAATACTTCTGTGCAATATTAAATTTATTTATTTAAACATCTAAATATCTGCTTTTGGTTTTTTGCAGCTAATCTTAAAAAAATTTGTAAGGCCATTGTTGATGCTCCGACTGATGAGGAGAGAGTGAAGGCCTTTGCACCCATTCAAGAAATGCTGACCTTTGTTCAGTTTGCTAATGATGAATGTGATTATGGAATGGGGTATGAGCTGGGCATGGACCTGTTTTGCTATGGATCACATGTGAGTAAATTAATGCATAATTTTATACATGGGCTAGAAGTGTTGAATTCATTCCATGTTGAATTTAAAATTGTGTGTGCAAAGGCCCAATCCTGCAGTCCAGAAGTGGAGTGTGAAGGGCCTGATCCAAATACACTGAACAGCTGGAGTCCCTTGTCCCCAGCTACTTGTATAGGCACCCATATTCACCCTGATCAGGAAACAGCCTGATGCTTGTAGTAACCCCAGCTGGGAGAATGTGAACCCAGGTGAGCTGCCTGGCTGTACTGCATGGGGCACCTGCCACCTGGTGTCTCCTCCCTAGTTCTCTGCCAACAGAGAACATTGTCAGTGAGGGGATTGAATTAATAGCACTTATTGCACATAAAAATTATGCTTAATGATTTTTATTCTATATTAGCTACTGGCCTGCTGATGAAAAGGGTCACAGCTGTAATTAGTCAATGGCTAGAAAATAACACATGAAGTTTCAACGTCAACCTAATATGAATGGATCATCATAGAAACCCCTGCAAAACTAGGGTTTGTTTTTTTTTGCTAGCTGCTCCTAGCAAAACTATTATTGGCTAAGTGGTGCTCCAGAGTATCATGGGAAGGATTAAGTTTTTCAGTACTAAATGTAGGCCCAAAAGAGCTGTGCCGATTACTGGTTAAAATACTTAGCCATTGAAATGCATGAAAACTGACTGCTCTTGCCATACACTGTTAAATTACTAATGTGTTTCTTAGACTTATGCCCTGCTCTCTTAAGTTCCATACAGCATCTGAAAATGTGTGGTATTTTTTTTCAAAATCCTGCTCATTTAGAGCCCTTCTTTCAGACTAGGCTGCTTCAGCTGCTTACATTTTTTTTACAACTGGAAGGGCAGTGAAGGAAACTGTTCCTCCCATTTTTCTGAGTAGGTGGAGGCAAATACTCATCTTCCAAGCTTTGTGCTTCTCAGCACATGAGACTAACCACTGACAAAGTCCTGCAGTGAAAAATTGTGTTTACAGTACAGTAATGCGTCTTGTCTGTTTTACACTGCAGCTTGGAACACCTGTAACTTTGCAACTGGTTTCTAGAATTAGAAACTTCCATCTTCTAGTTTAGTAAATAGAAGAAACAGTGGCTTCACACATAAGTTTTACTCAGTTACGTCCCTGCCTTTCTTGGAGCTCCTACTTGGAGCTGTTTTCCAGTTCTGACTGGAGCCTTCCTGGCCATTTGCTTACAGAGCCAGAGAAACACTGACACATTATCTGTAGCCCAAGACATAGAAAAGAACGTCAATCATCCCCTTTGTTTGAGAGATACAATGGACTTACGTGTACAATAATGATTGCAAATGCTAAATATGCTCTGATGTTTATACATTTGAAGTTCTTAAATGGTTACTGTAAGTACCACTGTAATCCTCAAACTGTGGGGTGGGATGAGACATGGGACTGTGACAGGATAGGGGACTTCACCTGCAGGCTCCAGTTTGGGATGCTGTGGTGAGTGGGATCATCATCTGCTCGATTTCTCTCTCACTGCGGCAGCTCGGGCACCCGGCCTGCCCTTGCTGTGAGTGTCCCAGCTGTAGCATGAGGATGTGCTCGGGCATTTTGGGAGGGGTTGAAGGGCGCGGTGTGAATGGGGCAGAGCCAGGAGCTGGGGCTGCTCCCGGAATTAACCAAGCCACTGAGGCCGAGGGCGGCTCTTGTTTTTGCTTCTCCCCTACAGTACTTCCACAAGACGGTGGGCCAGCTGCTGCCCCTGGCTTACACCCTGCTGAAGAGGAACCTCTTTGCCGAAATCATCGAGCAGCACCTGGGCAGCCGGCGGGAGGAGGACCTGGATCAGCTGGAGCCCTGAGCCGGGCGCGGGGGCTGCAGCTGGGGGTGGCCCTGCGCGCCCGGGGCCGGGCTTGTCCGTGTGTCTGTGGGGCTTTTTGTACTCGGTGGCGGTGTTCCCTCGCTCAGTAAAGGTTTTCTAAGGAACGCGCTGCTTCCCGCTGCTGGCTGCACGGCGGGCCCGGGATGGGGAGCGGGGCTGCGGGGCTGAGGAGCTGCCGCGGGCGGGGCGGTGGGACCGACACGCCCGCCTGGCCCTGCCCTGCAGGCCCCGGGAGCCAGGCCCGGGCCGGGGCTGCTGCTCCAGGGCTGCTCAGAGCACCGCGCCGGTGACTCAGGGCACGGCGGGGCCGCTGGGGCTCGGTCAGCACCCCCCGTGCCATATGCGAACCGATCCCCATGTCCCTGCTCCAGGGCGTGGTTCTGCCCTTCTCCGTTTCTGCAGTTGTGTCCTACCCCTCAGGTAAAGCATTCCCTTACTGCAGCTCCTGCGTTGCTGGGGCTGGTTCAAGTGGGACGAAACTGATGGGATGAAGGAAATGCTAACTGACATTACAAGAGAAATTAGGAATTCAACTGCAGTTGGTACCTTGCTAATAAAATAAGAAGCCATCTCCAAGTGATTTTGTACAAGGTGCAAATTAATTGCTTTCAAGGTCCTTAGTTCCTAGCTGAGTTCTTGTTACTGCATTTGGAGGTTTATTCTCTGACGATTAAAATAACAGTCCAGAAATAATGGAAAATAACATTTGCTCGTACTCAACAGCCCTGCCACCATCCAGTGACTTGACTTCCATTGTAGCAATTCACATCAGTACTAATGACAGCAATACTAATTACTACTGCTAAAAATTATAGGCCATTAGCACTATGCTAAAATGTAAGTCATTCCAACTCTTTTAAGCAAAGGATTGCCAGTTACATGTTACTTTATGGTAGAAGGGAGCAATGGAGATAAAATGTAGGTTAGAGTGCTGCAAAAGTATTGTGAGTTTCAAATACACAAGAAAATCACATACTACAGCTACTAATGTAAATTTGACAACATTACCCCTTTCATTCAGCATATTAATGTCAAGCACAGTCTTGCAGATACTCATTCACAGGCCTAGAGGTTTTTTTTAATACATAAAAAAAACAGGTACTTTCCATCTCATTCTTGTTTTTGTTTCAAGTACAGGAGCCCTTAATCTCAGGGCCCTGTAAATCACACAAGTACTAAAACAGTAGAATCGTGGAAAGGTTTGAGTTGGAGAGGACCTTAAAAATTCAACTTTTTAACTGTTACTTAAATATGAACTTAGATCTGCAAAAATGAGGACCTGAGACTGGACATCCATATTTATGTATTAACCCCTGATGGAGAAGGGGTTAATACATGAATAATGCAATGTGAGTAATAGTCCCTGATGGAGAAATCTGTTACAGCAGCTGTAACATGACTGATGTGCTGTGTAATAAACTGGGCCAGACTCTTTAGCAGAGCCTGCTACACTAAACCAAGGAGTAATGGTTTTAAATAAAAAAGATTCAGACTAGATAGGGAGAATGCATTTTTTATTATGAGAATGGTGAAATATTGAAATGGTTGCCCAGAGGGGTGGTACCTGCCCCTCCCTCCAAGTGTTCAGTGGATGGGCCTCTGAGCAATGTGTCTCATGGAAGGTGTCCCTGCCCATGACAGGAGCGTTGGAATAAGGTGATCTCTAAGGTCCCTTCCAGCCCAGGCCATTCTATGATGTGTACATCATCAGCAGATGCTTTTCAGACAATAAAAGGATCATCCACTTTTAACTTCAAATAAAAAAGATTTTGTTTTAATTCTATAATTAGCTAGGCAATGCAAATACTGCATTTCCTACACTCTATTCTTTTTGACAAATCTTACTAGTTTTGTATGTAAAATTCCTAGCTGTTAATTTTCTCAGGGAAAATAAATGCAAAAATTAAGACAAATCTTGTTTGTGAAAACAGTGAGAAAGTATGACAAAACAATAAATGGTCATACAGAAGTTTTTAATGCTTGATTAAATCATCACAGTAATGAGAATTTTTACTGTAATGATATGCAGTTCTACCACACTATTATAAATAAAAACATTAAGATCAATATTAAATACAGCTCTAGGCAACATCACAGATTAACAAAGAATGCATTCTTCATGAACCAGTATCTGAATGATTTAAAAAATAAAAAAATGCTGACACTTTCCCCCTCCCATCCACCACCTTTTTTTTTTTAATTAGTAACTTGAGTAAGGCGCTGCAAGTTTCACGTTAGAAATTTTTTGTTGCACAGCACAGGCACACATACTTCATTAACAGAACCTCTACTGCATGTTTACCAGAAGACATTTTAAATGTCAACAGGGAAAGCTTAGCAGGATAAGAGTAAACAGAGATGCACAATTTATGTGCAGCTCTGGGGATCCACACAGAAATGAAACACAGCAGGAGTGTGAACTGTATTTTAATTGAGACAGCAGTCTCTAGAATTAGGTGCAAGTTAATACAGTACACACAGCAATGTTTTACAATAACACCAAACAGGGCAGAGATTTCAAACTGATTTAGAGTGATTTTTGTATGTGTAGTGAGTTTGTATTCTTCCGCTACAGAAAAAGAAATCAGACAACAGAAATCAGTGTCACAGACAACTTCCAGAGCTGCCTTCTGTAAATGGGCCTAATCCTGCTCTTTGTGAAGCTTCCTCTTCTTCAGGCTTATGTAATGTAACAGAGCAAATTTTTAACAACTAGCACTGGCTTCACATGGAAGAGTACAGGTGGTTGTTGCCATGCTCCCATTTTTATGTAGCCCAATTCCCTGTTTCATTTCCAAACCTGTTTTTAATACAGGGCCTGATCACTGTGATCCCCCTGGCAAATTTCACTTTCTACTGGTTCCAGTTGCTGCTGGAACTGAGATGATAAAATGTAGATGGCAGTTTTTTAGTAAGAAAAAGAAGTTCAAATTCAACAGTGCACTTACTTAGGCACAGCCATTTTTGTGCAGCTCAGCCAAAAGTGCCACAATTTTGGTTCATTGTGTTACTGTACTTAAGATAAAATCATACTGAGTACTTCATGAATAAAGATGTTTGAGGTAACTGTGATGAATGCCTTAGATTTAAGATGTTAGACTTTTAGTGTTTATATTCTGGCCATTTTTGCAGTCTTGTGAGCATAATTGTTAAAAGAAAGAAATTTTATCCAACCTCATATTACAAAACATGATTTTTGTCAGCCAGATTTAATCTTTTTCCTTCCTAATTTAGGCTTATAGCATATTGCCATTTTTCCTCTGCATGCAGTTCTGGTGATGGTCTGATAAAATGAATAGGAAACAAAACAATGTACTGTGAAGAAGTTAGGGGTCTGTCAGTTCACCTCCAAGTGTGTGTGTGTTGCTGCTGAATTTTAAAGTCCTGCCAAAGTTTCAAGTACTGGATTCAATTCTGCCCTGCTGCTCAGGTGTGACTACATATAATTTACACCTTTATATACTTGGGAGAAAAGAAGAGTCAAAAGCAATTTAATAGTTGCTTTCTCCTATTACTTTTAAAACCCTGCAGGTTTGGGTTTTTTTAAAATAAAACCCTACTATTACTGTTCCAGTTATCTGCCAGTAAAGAAAAAAGGAAATCCAAGGTAACGGCAGTGAGAGTTACATTTGAAAATGATCTTGCATGTATGTTGGATCATAAAGAAGCCATTTTCTTGAAACCCTTCATCTAGTTGTAAACATTTGCTAATCCTCCATTACTTGCAGAGGATTATGAATTATTCTATAAAATCACATTAAAAAGGTAATTAGTTATGTGAGATATTAACTGATTCATATTTAATAGATTTTTTAAATCCATACAAATATAAATAAAGAATGGTAAAACTTCAAGAAAAATAATATACATTTAGTGCAAATTATGAGTTACATTTCTTCCAACCATGTCAGCAGTGGAACGTCTTTTGTGGAGAAGAAAAAATAAAAATGACCATTCTCAAATTTTACAGGGGGGGAAAAGATCTCCAGTGTTGAAGCATGCATTTTTTTACCAGATACACGTATACAGAATTGTTCCAGCTCTTAAACTAGTAGAATAGCAGTATTTTTCCTTATACTGCACAACATTGGTATATATCATAGTGTGTTCAATAATACAAAAATTGCATAAGACCAGGTCACGTTATTGATATTTTCTGCAGCAAAACCAGTATTTTTCTTTAAAATACTGGTTTCACCTGGTTTTAGTTTTCTCATATCATGACAGCACAAGGGTTGAAAGAAGTCTTGTGTGGTTCTTGGAAAGTATTACCTGTTCAACCTGGTTTTGTTGCAGTGCATCTGCACTGCCCCAAGCATTTCGTGATGTACGAACTTAGACATTTAATGGCACAAGAAAAACCTCCCTTCTTGTGATCACACCTCAGTAACTCACAGTACATCTCAATATGAGAAACAACTGCTTCAAAAGGGCACACCAATTTTAAAGAGGCTTTGTTACGGCTCAGGAGAGAGAGAAATAAAGCTCTTCTGGAATGTAGAAAGGTGACGAGTAATAGTTAATACGTTTCATGAAGGGCAAGACCTTTCAGTCTCCACAAGATGGCTCAATTCAGAATGATCCCTCCAGAAACAGGGATTAATAACACATCTCTTCAATGCTGAAGTACCAGGCTGGGCTGGAGAATGGCACCGCTTTGCACGGCTCACCCACTGCACTATCATGGCAGACCTGATGTCTCGGGACGCATCCAGTGCAGGACAGCAGCTCTCCCTTCCCACACTCCCATCAGCTCCCCCAGACTGACTCCTGATTGCCAGCAGCACTGTTATGTAAAAACCCAGCTCGTCTCTGATTTTAGAAGTTTCCCCAGACTACAGTGTTGTGCTATTCAACAAATGAACCTCCTCTTCCGTTTCCTCTCTCTCCTCAGCTATGGGTTTCAGTTGAACATTATGGAGGCGGGGTCTTGGTTTGCCGTCTGGGCCATATGACGGAGGATATCTTTTTTTGTTATAATGCCAAGGAGGCGCCTGAAAAGGATAAATGGAAGACTGATATTAATCCAAGCAGGAAAATAATGAAGTAGAACAAATCTGTAGCCAAGTCCTTTTTGTTGACAGGAATAGAGCAAAAGTAAACA